CATCTGTGATGAGCAGTAGCTGTGGACCTTACGGCTGCTGCTAACTGCCCTGGTGTGTGTGCGTGTGCGTGTGTGTGAGAGAGCGAGCGAGCGAGCGAGAGAGAGAGGAGGGAGGGAGGGAGGGAGCGGAGAGGGTGGGGGGGAGAGATAAGAGAGAGAAGAGGAAAAGGAGAGAGGAGAAGGAAGGAAGAAGAAGGAAGGAAGGGGACAATACGATCATGCTGTGCTGTATGAGAAGAACAAAACAGGTAGAGCTGAAGATTTTTATATGTCTTTGCGTTGAGAAATCTCGCAGGCTGCGGGGTGTCCGTGGGGTGCGTGTCTGCCTGAGTGTGTGAGGGGCTGGGGTAGGGGGGAGGAAATTTCAGCTGCCCTCAGCAGACTTCTCTTTTGCAATTCTTTAGCATCTTGGAACTGAAGGCTCTTTTCACACCCTGCAGCATGACTGTTTTGCCTTGCTGGGGCTGGTGATGTGGGGAAGGGGGGGTGGCCTACGTCCACATTTGGGGAGCTACCAGAATCTCCCCTCTATTCTTTCTTTTAATAGTGGGCAGATGCATTGCCTAGGATTTTCTGTCTGTGGTTCTGAGGGTGTGGAAGGGCGGGGGGGGGTATCTGCAGACGTTCGCATCTTGGAGATAAAGGAAGCAATTCTTCATCTTATGCCAAAAAAGAAAGGATGCCCAGTGAGCCTTGATCCCTGGTCAGAACAGCGTCTATTGCTCCCGCTCCGATGAATGAGAGATGCTTTATGTGCATGTGCTGTCAGGTGGCTCGGAGGACAGGTGCATTCATGGTTTTGTGCTACAGCAATCTGAGCAAGAATTAACCTGAAGCTTTTTTTTTCAATCTATGCTATAGTGAAAAAAGCAATTAATTAATAACAAAAGCATTAGCCAGGGGAGGGGGAGAGTCACCCTCTTTGCAATACCCTTCATAGTACAACCAGTTAGACAACTGTGCACCAGCTGGTAAAGAGACAGAGGACCACGCCTCTGTTAGCTCCGAACTCGAGTGGGATAAGAGAAGCTCACAGTGTGTGAACCTGTTGGAAACCAGTTCATTCTCTTTACTGGTACCACCTGGCTTTTCCTGTAAGGGAATTGTTGAGAAGGTTTGGGTGGTGGCTAGTTTTCACTGCCAATTTTTTTATGTCTAAATTGATAATGGAATTTGGAAAAAAGCTACTTAGATCATTCCCCTCTCACCCTACCCCCTTCTATTTGTGTGAAAGCCCAAACCTGCTCCTGATTAAGAGAGCCTTTTTTGGCTGAACCTATTGGACTTCCTTGGGAGGATGCAGGATTTATGCAGTCGGAACTTTGAGGAGGAACTGGCCCCAGGTATCTCTGTAAAGCATTTTGGAAACTTCCACAAATTACGGATTTGTAGGTAGTGACAAAGAGCTTTGGTCCTTGTTCTGAGTGCAAAACTCAACCTCAGTCTTGGGCACGGCACCATGCTGGTTACTTTCTTCATATATGCGTGCATTTATCTCTTACAGTATAGCACTGCAGTATTCTGGAGCAATAGCCTAACAGACTGATGTGAGTAACTCCGGTTAATGTAGATAGCGCAGTGTTGAAAGAAAATCCAGGTTAAAGTGTGCTTCTGAATGGAGATGTGTGTGTTATCAAATGAAGGAGCAATTTTGTAGAATAATGGGGAGGGGCAGGTGAATGGAATAGAAAGACACTCTGCGTCATCCTGTGTTTTTCCCCATGCAGGTTTTTCAAATGCCTTGCAATTAATGATACGTTCACTAAAATCTGGAGGGAGGTGGTGATAGCTGGGGGGGAAACACGTTGCAGCCAGCCAGCAGAGCACGTTCAGCTGGCAAATACGGGGTGGAAAGAGCAGAGGAAGAGAAAGAAGGCAGACAGTGAGGCAGAGTGACAGAGCAGTGGGCGGAGGCGCACAGCAAATTTTAAAATAAAGTAGGTAGCTGTGGAATTCTTTTGAGTCAGAAGAGAGCTGTTGGGGGAGGGGGATAATTTTGCCCCTATCATCACAGGTTGAGCATTAAAGCGCCTGAATAATATTCTGATGTATCTGTTCTTTACATCTCTATGGGTTTACTCCTGTCGTTTTTGTGTTCTCACATATTTAGAAATGCATGGCATGCAGGTATCTTGATCGCACATAGTCCTCTCTTCCCACTCTGTACATTAATCCACCGCATGGTACACACCCCTTTGCGCGTGCATGGGCAGCACACATCTCCACTCTCCGGTCGCTCGCGTCTGTACTACACATATATGCACACGCACACATGCACTCATTCGCACATGCTTTCTGAGCCTGATGCAGCCATACAGCCTGTATGTGCCTGTCCGTGCATACTCGGTGGATGTTCCTGGGCTCAGAGCCCAGCTCCTGCTCCTGTACCTGAACACATACCACAATCGCCAAACTGGCGATAGAGCAGTTTGCTCAGCAAAGCTGGTGATGCGCCGGAGGAAGCTTTAATGTGGAGAAGAAAAAGACCTCGGTTTTCAGCTTGTGCTCTTCCTCTGTCCCCACCCAAACCTTTCACAGAGAGAAAAAGATGGAATGGGTTCTTCAGCACAGGCAGGAGTTTCCTTCCCAAAATAAAGACAGCTCTCCTCAAATTATTTTTCAGGGGAAACCCCTGGTGTCCCGCCTTTCTGGCAGCTAAAGAGCGAAACGTTGAAATGACAGACTTGGGCGTGGAAGAAATCTCTTCACATTTGTGTCTAGGTGTGCCTGTATGTGTCTGCCCTCCCGCCCCTCAAAGACACATATGTTCACACACTCATACCTTGCAGATTATTCTTTCTTGTGGGTGCGATGCCGATGTGAAAAGTGAAGTATCTGACTGACTGTGGCCGCCCATGAGAGATGTAGATAGCTTGGTCTTGTCGTTTCTGCCTACAGGTGACTGCTGCTCTGAATTTGTGCCCACAAAATATTCAGCTAAAAGGTGGCATAACCAAAAGACTGGGTCAAGCAATTTCTGAAAAATTGAACTTAACCTTTACTGCTAGCAAGAGATGCAGTCAGTATTATGCAGAGCTGGGTAGTTAGATAGGTGGCTAGAAATGCAAGCGTTGCATGCACTGCATGCTAGAACAGATGGACGTTATGGGGGTATGTGCTCAGTATTGGATTGCATGAGTGATTAAACAATAACCCGCGAGCAGGTTTCCCACTTGTGGGTGAGATGAGTCTCATTCATCACCAGCCATGTCCGACGGCTGCCCTCCCTTTCTGTCGTCTCCTCCTCACCCCAGTGCTGGAGAGCCAGCGGCTGCAAAGGTTTAAACCTGCCACACCCATCAAATCAAAGGAGGGAGGGGGGAAGAGGCAGTCTGCATTTCTTTCCCCTTCCACACGAGCAGCATGAATAAACAGGGCTGTACCTCTAAAGATGCAGTTTAATGCAATTGGAGAAGGAGAAAGCATTAGGGAACTGTTCTAGCAATTACAGCCAGCCGGCGAGGTGTCTTGTCATTCCAGGAACTGCAGAGGTGTGCAGGAAGGATGAAATGGAGAAAGACAGAGAGGGAGATGCATGCAGAGTTAAGGTTTTCTTGCCTCAGGATATTAAAATGTCTCGGACCTCATTTAGAATAACTTAATTATGCTGCACTATCCGGACGCTTCCAAACTTGCAAGGCATGTTCTTACCTTTAAACACCAATGTGGAGAGAGGAAAAGGGGTATTTTAAAGGACAGGTGTCCATCCATGCCCCTCCTCCCTCCACTTGCCAGCGTAGTGTAAATCACCACAGGCCATCGACTTCAGGGCAGAGGCACTTCATCTGCACCTGGAGAGAGCCTAGCCACAGCCTCTGCCTTTGAGAGACACGGAGTGGTTTCTGTGCTTCTTCCAGTAAACAATTGCTGTGTGGAAGTTTAATTACTCCAGGTCCTTACTATTTCTCTTCCTGGGGCGGTACCCCTGGGATTTGTCCTGAGAAGGGTGTCTCCAGAGAAACACCCCTCCCATCACCCTGTCCTCCTCCGCTGCCTTTGCTGACTATTAGAGACATTGATTTCTCCTAGATCGCATAATGTAACTGATCTTGATGGCACAGACAAACCCCCTCCTAGGGAACTAATTGCAGCCAGAGTTTCCAGGGGCAGAAGGACAGTGGCAATGCTTAGTGGGAAAGAAACCAGTCTGTTGATCCAAATCACCTATTGCCACTTGCTCTTGAATGAGACTCCCAGTAAAAACCAGTAAGGCAGTACCCACCAGTACGTAGAGGCATCCGTGCTGAGAGGACTGCGTTGAATCCTGTGTCTTCCTGTGCCAGGCTGGTACATGTGTGCAGCCCGAGGAGCCAACACGTGTTGCCTGAGGGCTTGTCCTGGCCCAGTGCTGAGGGTGTCTGAATGATCTCCGAGCTGCTCCTGCCTCAACATGAGAAAATGGGCTGATAGCTCCAGATTCTGCCCATGCCATGCTGACAGAGTGGGCATCTCCTGGGGATGAGAGGGAGCCCTCCTCCAGTCCTGTGGCTTTGACTGACTAGAAGGAGAAAGTGTGAAGAGGTTTCACCTCATATCCATTCTCATTTCAGGCCAGCTGTCATGGATTCTGTGATGCCATCCCAGGGTCTAGTAGCCACCCTGCACAGACATTATATTTCCCTCTCCTCATTTCCCTGAGAGCAGGAATTCCCCACTCCTGGCAGCTGCCAAGTTGCAAGGCCTTCTTGTGCTAGCGAGAAGGTGAACTGCGCCCTTTGCCTATCACAAGGTGAAAGCGGGCTCATAGTCTTGCATGGCAGAAATCAAGGATGTGTATACCTGCTTGGGTTCGCTGGCCTCATGCTGCGAGGCATGTGCTCCCGTCAATGACTCTCATCTGCTCCATGTGCAGCTAACGTGGGGTGTAAGTGGGCTCTGCCTAGTCTGTACCAAGCAGGCATGTATATGCTGAGGGGTGGGTGTATTAACAGGTGAAAGAGCAGGCATAGCCTGAAGATTGCCTCTGCTTTTGGCTGAGATGGTATGAAGCCCAAGCACAAAGTACATATAACCTGAGACCTCTGCATGCTCCGGGTAGGCTGGTGGTGCAGTAGTGACTGCCATTTGCTCAGTCCATGCATTTCTGGTCCGTGCATTCTTCCCTCTGTACAACTCTCCTGTTGCACCCTCCTCCTTCACATGAATGACTCGCATCTCTTCTGTTGCTTTGGGCTCCCTCCCTACACAGGGAGGACTTTATTTGGATTTGAGAATGAGCGATAGCTGTGGTGACAGTTCCACACTAAAG